TTTTTTTTTTTTTTTGATAGGGTTCCCAACATCGTATTCTTTGCTTCAAGTGTTTTCTTGTAGGAGGAGGCCTGGCAAGAACTTAAGGAGAACGATCGAGATAGAGTGGCGAAAGTTTAGACAGCTTGATAAACAAAAGGTTTAATATGCGATCTTGAATGAGTAAACGAAATTTGTTTAAATGACTTGAAGGCTTAATGCCAAACGCCTCTACTTAATTAAAACACTAGCATCTCTTGACTTAATTGGATATTTTCTCGTTTTGTTGTCAAAGATGGATGGATTAAGTTGCTTCGTTGTATGAAAAAAACTTTTTAGGTGCAAAAAATGCACACCGCCGTACGGCTGAATGAAATTATTCTAAAGCATTCTGCAAATAGCGAGTTGGTGATATTGAATTTGCCAAAACCTCCAGCAAATAAAAGGGGTTTGTCTAGTCTTTTTTGACAAATATATATCTCGAAAATGACTTGTAATTTCTTTTATTATTTTTTTCCTGTTGGATGCAATTTACAATTTTCTGATTATATCCTTCAGTCTATCTTGTAGTATCGCTTCAGTTCTTTTAGGTTTGTCGGATTACGTCCATTATCTGGAAGTGTTGTCAGAAGGAGTCAAACGGATTTTGTTTATACGTGGTACTGGTAAAGAGAAATTAGCTACAACTTCTTAAATTCTGCTTCACGCTTGATTGATTTTACTGCATTTCACTTAGAATTTTATTAATTCTCAGAGGTTGTATTCTCACTTGCTATACAGAAGACCATTAGCAGCGATTTCTCATCGATCTCCTTGTTCTTCGCAGTGTTGGTTATTTAGAGGTCTCTCGAACTGCTCTGCAGTGCAGCAGTAGTTTTTATCAAAGCTTTTTGTAAAAACTTTATGCAAGAATTTTCAAAGGGTGGTAGGCTACAACTGACAGTAAAACCGATTGTAATTATATTAATTAGAAAACAGTTTTTGGCTTAATCATTTTGTTATGACAGAGGCTTTACTACAAGCCAAGAAAAAAAACCCCTAAGCAGACGAGCTTGGGTAGAAGACTAGATGAGCAGTAGGTAAAAAACTTGCACTGGACGCTAATCTTTTTTTAGGCTCTGCTGTT